GGCAGGTCACTGTCCAGCCCCAGCCCTGCTGAGACCTCAGGGCGCAGTTTTGAGGGTCCCACCGTCCGCGGGCCTGCGTGCTTGCGGGGTGGAAGCCATCCTAAGGCTCCCCCGGACCTGACACGAGGACCGGCTGTGGGCCACCTCCCTGCCGCCCGTGTCCTTCGCTCCACAGCAAGACCCACTGGAAGTGAGTCTTACTTCCAGTCGCCCTTGGAAGAGTAGAGTTCCTGCAGCCTGTGAACTGTGAGGGGAAGCAACCATTGACTCCCGAAATAAGTGCGGGAACTATCACAACCTTGGAAGCTCACAGGAAGGTCACTGAAGACAGACGCGGAAGTGCTAAGGCAGAAGTTACGAGACTTTGTACCTGTTTAGGAGAAGGTGAGAGGAAAGACTAGTTTCTGTATTATTATTTTTTCCTCGTCTACTTTGTACAAAGTGCAGGTCCACTCCCTCTCCATTCGCCTTTCGTGCGGCCAAAAATTATGGACTCTGAGGAAACCTCTTGGTTAGAAGCCCTTACTGTTTGAGGTTTTTTTCTGGATCTAAATATTGTTGACAAGAAGACTAACATCGATATAGGATTTAGATTCACTCTCCATCCTCTCTACACACCGGGAACATTTGGTCAAAATGAACATCTCTGCTTTTTTTTTTTTTTTTAAGTTTTTTTCTTTATGTGCATTTACTTTCAGTAGCAGGTTTCAGTGTGTGTCTTTTCTTTCCAGATGTGGAGTTCTTCCTATATACAGCCAAAAAGCAAATATAAGCTCAAAACTCTTCGTTGAACTCTTTTACAGGCAGTGTGGCCAAAGTTACAGAGGTTGGTTACCCAGCTGATGCTGAACACTTCTCACAGTTCAGCAGCTGTTTGGTACCAGGTTGTCTTGTGACCAGACCTTCCAACAGGACTTTGCCCTGCTTTAGCAAACAGGACTCTGCAGAAGAGATACATAACAAGCCCCCTTTAAGGACATGGGAATGTTTTCTGGAGATTGGCCTTCGCCAATTGCCTTGAACAGTCTTCAAATTTAAGAACTTTTTCTTTTTGAGACAGTCTCTCACAGCAGCCAGGGTAACGTGGAACTCAATAGGTAGTCTGGACTGGCCTTCAACTTGCAGCAGTCTTACTGCTCTGTCTCTGGATTGGTGGGATAGCAGATGTGAGCCACCAGACCCAGCTCCCTATCAAATCCCTGTCAAGTTCAGTGTTGTTTTAATGCCCTTAAATTCTTTCAGAGCTGAGAGGATTTTATCTCCGAGTTAAGGCTTCAGTTCATATTACATTCTGAGCACCAGCCTTATTTTATATATATTCAGAAGGAGTGTTTAAAATTCCTTGTAAAATCTTCAGGTAAAAAGCAGTGTAACAGGATATATTAGTTTCCAGAAATTTCAGGTGCAAAGATTCTTTTGAAGCCCTGTTTAGTCTTTATGATACTATGTTTAGTGTCAACACCTGAAGGGCTTAATTTGCTTCTGAAAGCAAATACTATGGTCAGAAGGTAAACACGAGAAGGGTTTGTCAAGAACAACAGCTTAACTGGGCACATGAGTTACTTGGTAGAGTGTTTGTCTAGCATGCCTGAGGCCCTGAGTTTGATCCTTAGCACCAAATAAGCCAAGTGTGGTGGTACATAGCTGTAATCTCAGCATTTGGGAGGTAGAAGCACGAGGATCAGAAATTCAAGACCAGCTAATATGTTTAAGTCCAGCCCATGCTACATAAAACCTTGACTCAAAAAACAAAAACAAACATAAAAGAATACAACTTGGAATTACAGGCATGTACTACTAGCACGTACATTCCCATGGTTGCTGTAGATCCAAACTCCAGTCCCTATGCTTAGGCATTGGTCACCATCCGCAGTGAGCCATCTTCCCGGCCCGCAGAACTGAGGTCTTGGTGGAACTGAATATTATTAGTTTTGGACACATCTCTTTAGGTCTTTGTACCTACATTTCTTTCCAAAGTTGACAGACACAAGAAGGTTGGGTTGGATAAAAACAAAATGCTTCTCTGACCTGTGTTTGTCCATAGAACTGTACCTTCAAGTTGGGAGGGAAATTTAAAAATAATTTATAGCACAGGATTTTAATCATCTATCAACATATCTGCTTCTGTTTTGTTTTATTTGAGACAAGGTCTCTCTTTATTGCCTGGACAGCCTAGAACTTACTAGGTAGACCAAGCTGGCCTGGAACTTGAAATAGTTTTCCAGCCTCTCCCTTCCAAGTGCTGGGATTATAATGGTGTGGGCCATTATCCCATGACAGAGCATCAACTTCGTTTTCTTTTAAAGATTATTTTAATTCTTAAATGTCTCTGTGTAGGTATGGTGCACATGTAACTGCAGATGCCTGCAGAGTCCAGAAAAGGCCGTCAGAGCCCCCTGGAACTGGAGTTACAGGTGAATTAAGACATGCTATGTGAAAGCTAGGGACCAAATTCAGGCCTTCTGCAAGAGCAGCAAGTGCTCTTAACTGTGGAGCCACCTCTCCAGCTCCAGGCCATCTGCTTCTTCATCTCATTCATTCATTATTTGTTTAAACTTTATAAATAAAAATCAAGAAGCATAGACTCAATGTAGAAAAATAGTGGTCTGTCTTGAGGATATCATTCAAATAGCTGTCGTTCTAATATGTCTGGCTCTTATTTTTTCCCCTAGACATAATGTCAAGTGGAGATGACCAACAGTCACAGGCTTTTACCAAGCCCACTTTTACTGAGGCACAAGCCTCTGCACTGGTAGAATCAGTATTTGGGTTCAAAGTTTCTAAGATCCAGCCACTCCCTAGCTATGACGACCAAAACTTTCATGTTCACATTTCAAGAAGCAAAGAGACTACAGATGACCCAGTTGACTATGTCTTCAAAATCATCAATACGGAATCTAGTCGAACTCCAGACCTGATTGAAATGCAGAACCATGTCATCATGTTTCTGAGAGCAGCTGGATTTCCAACAGCCTGTGTGTGCCGAACTAAAGGGGACAGCACGATCTCTCTGATAACCATTGGTAAGAGATTTCCTATATGTTCATATTACTACATTTTGGCTACAGGTAGAAGTGCAATGTCAAAAACAAGTTCATAACTCCAAGTGGGAATATAGTTTGGAAACGACTTGAGAGCTACTGTAAATTTTATGTTTATAAATGTCCTGATAAATAATAACTAAGGGACCTGTGAACACCAGGAAGACACGTTCTATTCTTATGTAACACAAAAAGATTATATGTGTTGCTAGGAATTGAACCCAGGCCCTTGCACATGCTAGGCAAGCACTTGGCAAAGTCACTTCTCCAGCCTCAAGAATGTATTTTTAGTTATTAGACTAGCTGCTGTGTTGTAGTAGAAATAGAAAGAGCATGAAACTAGCAATCAAGCATTTAAAATGCCAGTTTGTCATTACT